GTTTTACCCTACTGTTGACTAATTGTTGCGATAGTAATCCTGCTTAGTACGAGAGGAACAGCAGGTTCAGACATTTGGTTCATGGACTTGACCGATCGGTCAATGGTCCGAAGCTAACATCTGGGGGATTATGACTGAACGCCTCTAAGTCAGAATCCCACCTAGTCAAGGCAGCGATAACTTTGTTTCCCGGTGTCGGGAGGCAACTCTATCTCGTGGCAACATGAGAGCTTATGCCCTAGTAAATGACCTTGCCGGTATGGATAATCCCTGCTGGTTGTCAAAGCCAGATCACTCTGGTTCAATGTCGGGGCGCAAAATCACATGTCTACGACATGTATACTGGTCAAGGTGTTGTATCCAGTAGAGCAGTGTTTGTATACTGCGATCTGTTGAGACTATCCTCTGATCGGGTGTTTTGTTTAGCCATATGAAAGACGTGTTTTAATCGCGATGTTTCTGGACTTGTGCGAATTCTCTGAGAGTCTGGACTTAGACGAATTTCTCAGTTCCACGCGATTAAAACATGTCTTTTGTGGGTGCGGAAGAATATCGTCTGTATACATATATATGTGTACATATGTATGTGTGTGTGGAAGTGTGTGGAAAGTCACACGTAACATGTGCGTTTCATAGGGGGGGGGGGTGGAAATATGCGTATGTATACATCATCTATATACAATGTGAGTGATGATAAGCATGAGCATGATGATATAGTATAGACGATGTGAAATATGATACTATGAATGAACATGATATGTATATATATGATATTAACTGTAATAGACGTTATAAGTGTATATTTATAATGTAATATACTGTAGTAATGTATATATAGTTATATATAGTATATATATAATATATATATAATAGTAATATATATATAATATACATGTATAATATTAGCACATATACATCATATGTATAGTACAGATAACTATACAGGGCGGAGTATTGGTGATGTTACCATGAGAAATGGGGACAGGTAATGATGTTCATGCAGGTGCTGTGGCATGATGAACATTCCCAGCAGGCTGTGTGTCTACATGTGAGGATGGGATGGAAACTTTTCGATGAAGAGTTTTCGGTGTTCCCAACGTTCACAAAATGAATAAAATGGGTATCTGTATATGGTCCAGGATTTTGATTTTGCCAATATATGAAAATGTTGGAGCTTTGCGAAAATGCAAACTCGTCGAATATCCTGAAGTCACGGGCGAGCGTGAATGGGGAAATTCATATGCGAGTTCGTTTACCTGATTGATTCTGTCAGCGCTATATGCTCAGTTTAAAGATTAAGCCATGCATGTCGAGTTCATCTTTAAGAGAAACTGCGAACGGCTCATTAGAGCAGATGTCATTTTACTTCGGACAAGTCCTATTGGATAACTGCGGTAATTCTGGAGCTAATACATGCAAATAAACCCTGACTTTCGAAAGGGTGCAATTATTAGAGCAAATCAATCACCTTCGGGTGCTGTTTGCTGACTCTGAATAACGCAGCATATCGGCGGCTTGTCCGCCGATATTCCGAAAAAGTGTCTGCCCTATCAACCTGATGGTAGTCTATTAGTCTACACCATGGTTATTACGGGTAACGGAGAATAAGGGTTCGACTCCGGAGAGGGAGCGCTTAGAAACGGGCTAGCCACAGTCTCGCAAGGAAGGCAGGCAAGCGCGAACATGGCGTTGTAAGAGATGAGATAGTGACTAAAAATAAAAAGACCATTCCTATGGAACGGTCATTTCAATGAGTTGATCATAAACCTTTTTTCGAGGATCAAGTGGAGGGCAAGTCTGGTGCCAGCAGCCGCGGTAATTCCAGCTCCACTAGTGTAAATCGTCATTGCTGCGGTTAAAAAGCTCGTAGTTGGATCTGAGTTACATGCAGTGATTCGCCTTTGGCGTTAATCGCTGTTGTAACTATTCTGCTTGGGTTTTTGTGCAGAGGAAGGTTTTCGGATTCTGCAATGGCTAGCGAGTTTACTTTGAATAAATTAGAGTGCTCAGAACAAGCGTTTGCTTGAATGGTCGATCATGGAATAATAAAAGAGGACTTCGGTTTCTTATTGTATGCGGTGTTGCAGAACTGAAATAATGGTTAAGCTAGCGACATATTCGGTGGGCATGTGCGTTATCCCTGCGCGAGAGGTGAATTCGTTGTGGCCGCAGGGGGACGCCCTTAAGCGAAAGCATTTGCCAAGAATGTCTTCATTAATCAAGAACGAAAGTCAGAGGTTCGAAGGCGATTAGATACCGCCCTAGTTCTGACCGTAAACTATGCCATCTAGCGATCCGATGGGGTATTGTTGCCTTGTCGAGGAGCTTCCCGGAAACGAAAGTCTTTCGGTTCCTGGGGTAGTATGGTTGCAAAGCTGAAACTTTAAGAAATTGACGGAATGGCACCACCAGGAGTGGAGCCTGCGGCTATTTTGACAGTCAAGCTACGTGGGAAACCTCAGCCGCCGGGCCCGGACACCGTAAGGATTGACAGATTGAAAGCTCTTTCTCGATTTGGTGGTTGGTGGTGCATGGCCGTTCTTAGTTGGTGGAGCGATTTGTCTGGTTTATTCGCCGAATAACGGAGCGAGACTCGTAGCCTGCTAAAGTAGTGGCTGGGATTTTTTACTGTCCAGTCTATCTTCTTAGAGGGGTGTGTGTTCTTTAAGCGGTGTTTAGCCGCACGAGATTGAGCGATAACAGGTCTGTGATGCCCTTAGATGTCCGGGGCTGCACGCGCGCTACAATGGAAGAATCAGCTGGCCTATCCATTGCCGAAAGGCATTGGTAAACCGTTGAAACTCTTCCGTGACCGGGATAGGGAATTGTAATTATTTCCCTTGAACGAGGAATTCCTAGTAAGTGTGAGTCATCAGCTCACGCTGATTACGTCCCTGCCATTTGTACACACCGCCCGTCGCTGTCCGGGACTGAGCTGTCTCGAGAGGACTGCGGACTGCTGTATCGAGGCCTTCGGGTCGCGGTATGGCGGGAAACAGTTCAATTCGCAAATGGCTTGAAACGTGGTGAAAAGGTGTAACAATGGTATGCGTGTAGCAGTGAACCCTGCAGAGTGGGATCAATCGTCGAAACCACATATGAATGGTTACTGTTGATCACGAAAACCAACGGACATGTATAGTTTGCGACTTTGTCGTGAATGTTGGGAGTATCACCCCCGTTAAAGCTCTACATTGAGGTGTCTATGTATGACATGAGCCGTTCGTGAGTGGCGGCTATGATTGTTCATGCGAAGTTCCCAATACTATATTGGTTTGAGGCTTAAGACTTAGATGAAGTATTGCAGTAATCGCTCCTAAATCGTTTTCTATAAGTGGTAGCGTTATGTACACCATGTATATGTTGTACCGTGTGTTTCAAGAAAACCCTTTTTTTGGATTTCGAACCTGGTTAATGTAAAATTTTGCATCGTGTTTGATTCGCCCATTATAAAAACACAACTATCTATGTTTGAAGTTTGCAGAATCGTGTTCACAATTGTGACACAACAAATTGACTAGCTTCAGCGATGGATCGGTCGATTCGCGTATCGATGAAAAACGCAGCTAGCTGCGTTTATTTACCACGAATTGCAGACGCTTAGAGTGGTGAAATTTTGAACGCATAGCGCCGTTGGGTTTTCCCTTCGGCACGTCTGGTTCAGGGTTGTTAACGATATACTACAGTGTGGCTAACGTTTTAACACTGTTTGTCTAATGGCATTTGTCTACATCTGTTTTGACAAATCCCGTTATAGTTCAAGAATAACATATGCAACATAATGTTCATATAGTAATATGAACATTTCTGAATGATATCAATCTATTATCACTGTTTAAATGTACTCAATGAATATGAGATTGATTTAAACAGGGACATGTTGGAGATAGTAGTATTCGTTATCATTTGTATTGCAACCTGAGCTCAGGCGTGATTACCCGCTGAACTTAAGCATATCATTTAGCGGAGGAAAAGAAACTAACAAGGATTCCCTCAGTAACGGCGAGTGAACGGGGAGAAGCCCAGCGCTGAATCTTTCGATGTTACATCGTAAAGAAATGTAGCGTATAGGTGTGGTTTTCAGTTTGTGCTACATGTCCAAAGTCCCTTTGATAGGGGCCATATTCCCGAGAGGGTGCGAGACCTGTGCGGACAGTGGAGCAAGCTGTACGATCATACCTTAGAGTCGGGTTGCTTGAAAGTGCAGCCTAAAGTGGGTGATAAACTTCATCTAAGGCTAAATATAGACGCGAATTCGATAGCAAACAAGTACTGTGAAGGAAAGTTGCAAAGAACTTTGAAGAGAGAGTTCAAGAGAACGTGAAATCGCTGGAGTGGAACCGGAGAGAGTTGACGTAGCCGGGTAACTAAGTTTCCTAATGTCGCTTAATTGTGGCTGCAGGTGATGTATGTTGCCTATGGCTGCGCTGACAGCGCTGGCTATGCGTTCTGACCCGTTTGCGTTGCCCACTTCGGTGGTGTCTTGCCTACGGTTAGGTTTGTCATGGCTAGCGTTTTATTCTGCATGCAGAGTGTCAGTGTGAAAGTCGACCACCTCTCCGACCCGTCTTGAAACACGGACCGAGGAGTGTAACTTGTACGCGAGTCAAAGGGTGGTAAAACCCCAAGGCGTAATGAAAGTAAAGGTCGGTTAACCGGCTGACATGGGATCACCACTTTTCGAAGTGGCGCACCATGGCCCTGTCTTGTCTGCATGCAGATGGGCAGCGGTAGAGCGTACAGGTTGCGACCCGAAAGATGGTGAACTATGCCTGAGCAGGACGAAGTCAGAGGAAACTCTGGTGGAAGTCCGTATCGGTTCTGACGTGCAAATCGATCGATAGACTTGGGTATAGGGGCGAAAGACTAATCGAACCATCTAGTAGCTGGTTCCCTCCGAAGTTTCCCCCAGGATAGCTGGAGTTCATTGCGGTTATATCCGGTAAAGCGAATGATTAGAGGACTTGGGGTCGAAACGACCTCAACCTATTCTCAAACTTTCAATGGGTATGTTGTCTCGGTTTCTTTGTTGAACTGTTGACACGAACGCGAGCTCCAAGTGGGCCATTTTTGGTAAGCAGAACTGGCGCTGTGGGATGAACCAAACGTTGGGTTAAGTTGAAGTCTGAGGTTAGTGACCGTTTACTGCTGGCACGTAGGCTTTCGGCCAGCTGATAGGGGACTATAAAGTCTGGATTAGAGGCGAGGTAGCACCATGTGTAAACAATGGTGTGATCTACCTCCTCTTCTATACTCTTTAATCCTAGGCCCCCATCTTCTTTCCTGACGTACAGTCTCGCAACGCAGCTGTATCCAAATCTCATTCGAGATTCTTCTAACAGCTTTCGTATCCGTACGTCAAAGTCGCGTGCTTGTTTTCGGAATGAAACTAGACGTCCCATACCGAAAATAACGCATGACGCTGCGTATTTTAGCTTTGGGATCACCGTTTGGTTGTATCCAGCAACCTTTTGACGTACCGTCAGGTCACTGTTCATAATTCGGACGGCAGTATCCCAAGCATTTTTCCGGACGCGGTTCCAAAGCTGCCTCATAGAGACAAGAGTGCCTTGCTCCGCTCCCAGATATTTATAAAGGGAGTTAGACCCTAGAATCGGTATATCTCCGACTTCAGTCTGTTCCCTTTCCATGGTGTTGACGGACTTCACCGCGCATTTGCTTGGATTCATCCTCAATCCCAATTGTTCTGCTACTTTCTGGATACCAGCCTTGGCTTTCACCAAGTCTGCCCAGTTAGTAGTGTAGACCTTGAGGTCGTCCATGTAAAATATGTGTCCTACCTCAAGGCTACCTTCTGATCTGGTACCACTACCAGTTCTGGTCTTGTATGGCTCGATATTTGAGCGCAACCAACCGGAGATAGGCGCTATGGCCATGCAAAACAGTAAAGGACTGAGGGTATCACCTTGCATGAGACCATTCCTGATCTCAAGAGGTTTACTCACTACAGCCTTACCATTCTGTTGGCCACAGTACCTGACGCTTTGTTTGGACATTACTCTTTGTACCAATGTTCGGATGGCCTCGGGCACATCCCATTGTTTGAGTGTCCAATTGATAGCGCCATGTTTAACAGAGTCATATGCCTTGGTCATATCCACCCACAGCATATGTAACTCCTTCTTATGTTTTAAAGCATCTCTACATACTGTTTGATCCAGTATGTGTGCGTGAGTGCATCCCCATATTCCTCGCCGCAGGGCGACCTGCTCCCGAGGGAGTCGGTCTCCGAGGCCGGCGGTAATACGGTTCGCAATCATCGCCGTGAGGACCTTATAGCATGTATTCAAACATGCTATTGGTCGGAAATCTCCTGGACCAGGGGTCTCTGATTTCCCTTTTGGGATCAATACCACTCTGCCTCTACAGAGCCATCGTGGTATCACTTCCCTGCGCCTGTGCAGTGCTTTGATGCACCACTCTTTAAGACGCTCCTTAGCCTCTGGTAGGTATTTCCACCAGAAGCCTTGGATTCCATCTGGTCCTGTGGCCTTCCATGGTTTGATTCTAGAGAATAGGACTTTCCAGTCCTCATCCGTTAAGGCCAAGTCCACATGGTTTGGATTGGATTGCCTGTGGGCTTGGGACCAAATCCTAAGCTCCACAGTTTCTCTGAACGGTTGAACCTCGCCTACAATTGGCTTCCAGTACTCACGTACTTGGTCAACCGGCACATTACTCCCTGTTTCTCGGGGTTCTCTTGCCACGAAGGAGGGGCCCCTTCGTCTCACCTGGAAGCGGTTCTTAGCCTCTTCCATTAATTTGATGTCCTTCTTACAATGTTCAGTTCATCTCTGAATCTAATCAGGAGTCTCTGAACATCTGCCGTTTTGGACACCCTGTACAATCTTGAGATTTCCAGATATTTGCGGCTGGGTCTTCCAGAACCGCTCCTTCCATCTACAGTTGTACGTCTTCTTCGGAGCTCTATAGCCAAGTGGATATGAAGCTTATTAGAGTATTCCGAAGCTGAGCTGCTTCTTGGAAGCGCTCTTTCATCGGCGCAAGCCTTTCGCTGTTCTCCTCTATCAGTTTAGTAGTCACTGCTTTCGCGACTGCATAAACTGCTGCATTCAAGGACGTCAGCGATTTCGATTTGATTCGTT